TTTTTTTACGGATGCGATTTTTAAAATCACCTAAGGATTTGTTTAATTTGTCTTTTTTGTCTAATTTGCTCCAAAGTATGGGACCTAGATATCTAAGGGAATGCTTACCAAACGTGACTGTGTTACATCTAGGTATAAGAAAATCTGAGTTTCTAAGGCTGTAACAAGAATCACGAGGTTTGAACATGTTAGTAATAGCCTCGGAACACATCTTGGTGTGTTTAACTTTATACATCAGAATACAAATGTCTTGAAGACATCTATTTAACAGTGTAGGCAGATTCGGCCTATTCAATAACTAATTATAGCTGGACTTTGTGTCCCTATAAACGGCCCTTAATCCTCTTTCCTGGATTCTCTCCAACCTACGAGTATCACTAGCCCTACAAAAATGCCATACTAGATGGCAATATGTTAAATATGGTAGGATGGCTGTTTTGAAAAGTACTAACTTTGCAGTGGTGGGAATTAAGTTTCTCAGTCTCATGATTACCCCAACCCTTTGACTTGCCTTCTTACATATATCATTAATGTGCTCATTAAAATTTAACTTATTATCTATAGTAACTCCTAAAAATTTTCAACGTATTAGACGTCTTAATGATCCTACCATTTAAGTTCAAGCTAGTTTTATCTTCTGTACAACTCATCTGTTCGTTCTTACTACCATATTTATTTTGAATGTACGTAGTCTGATATTTCTTCAAGTTTCCCTCCAAGAGATTGTTTTCGTACCACTCAGTTGCACTAGAGGCACTTTTCTCGAGCATGGTATGCACTGAGTTGATTCCTTTACCTTTCTGGTATATTTGATGGTCATCGGCATACATAGAAATATTAGCATCAATATCATACACAAGGTCGTTCTGAAAGATGTTCCATATCAGCGGGCCCAACGAGGAACCTTGAGGACAGCCACGAACGGCTCTCTTCCAATCACTGATTACAGTAGATCCCATCCTGACTCTGTTGTAGCGGTCACTCAGGTATCTTTCAGTATCTTTCTGACTTTAAAAACGAAGAAAGATAACGCATCGTTAAGTTCGTTTAGCATCATTTAGTCCAGAGGAGAAGTGAGGGCTAGCCTATCTTTATACCTTGTAGATTCAGTAAAAACAGCTTTATTTCGTACCATCATGGGTCTTAATTCAAGTATGGAACCCCGGCTGCTTACCGTATTAGATTTGCAGATATTCGCAACGCTTGCCGAAAGATGTTAAGGTGTGAACTTTTGAAAGTTCTATTTGAGATTACCATGTCATCCGCACAAAAACTGCTTAATAATCTTCACGATTTTATTATTGATAAATCATACACCACGTTTTGAACTTCGGGGCAAAAGCCTTAAATTTTGCTGAGGACTCTTTAAAAAGCTTTTCAAAAGCTTAAGCGAAAAAGCTTGAAAAACTCTACGATGAGTGAGGGGCAACTAGCGAAAGAAAGCCCTAGTGATGGACAACCCGAAAAAAATATCAGCGATGATATCCCATAATTTCTGATATTCTTTTGATATACTTGTATATATATACAAAAGGATCAGAATTTCTGCATATCACTGTATTTATATATATATACAGCCATTTGCAAAAATTATGACCGCTATAATATATATATTTAGGCACTGCCTAAAAGCGGAGCTCCCGATACGGAAGTCACAGGGAGAATTTGAATGAAACTGAAAGGTAAAAATAAGATCGGGGGAAAAATCTTCAATTATTTTTTATTCGAAATGAAGATAATTTCTCCCATAATAAAAACCACTGAGTTGTCTATCATTAGGGCTTTCTGGGGAAAAAATCAAGAAATATATCCTGCCCTGTCTGATATACTTTCGATATCCTTGTATTTATATTTGAAACCCTGGACTTATGTTTTCCGCCAGGTAATTTGCACGACAAATCGTCTTTTCACAAACGCGACTTTAGTTGAAAATATATTATTCAATGACACTATTGAAAGCCTTATGTCCCCTGCCTTATTATTTATTCGAATACAAATTAGAACAAATACTGTATTCCGTAATTATGAGGCCGACTGATTATAATTTGCATCAAAAAAATTTATGTTATGGGCCCGTGTGATACTATATATAATACTATGATAACAAAGTCATGTTTCATCAGGTTTTATTTCTTTCTTTTGATTTTACATCAGTTTCCTTTGAGCGGTTACAAGCTGTCAGGCTACACTGACTTTCTACTTTATTTGCTTTAATCGTAACTGAGCCGTGCTACATTCTCAGCCTGATCTAGGGAAGCAGCACCGGTTCAGGCCATTTTGACATGAACGAGTATATCCATAACCACTTGGACAAGTGCCTCGGAAGACCCAATGGTCTCCATAGGGTGGCTCGTCATTTTCCCCACAATAGCAGCTGAGTGCGCGCTTTTCTTCTTGCACTACTGTAAAATATGATGTGGAGGAGAGTCAATACTGTAAAATATGATGTGGAGGAGAGTCAATACTGTAAAATATGATGTGGAGGAGAGTCAATANGTCAATACTGTAAAATATGATGTGGAGGAGAGTCAATACTGTAAAATATGATGTGGAGGAGAGTCAATACTGTAAAATATGATGTGGAGGAGAGTTAATACTGTAAAATATGATGTGGAGGAAAGTCAATGCTGTATAATGTGATGCGGAGGAGAGTCAATACTGTATAATATGATGTGGAGTAGAGTCAATACTGTAAAATATGATGTGGAGGAAAGTCAATACTGTAAAATATGATGTGGAAGAGAGGTAAGTTAAAGTCAAGGTATAACCTCGTCAAAAATGTAACACTAACACAAACAGATTTTTTAAAGGAAATCACTGAACGTATTCGTGGTTGCATAATAGGGGAAGGCACGTTTTTAACTGGAAGGGGGGGGGGGTGGGGGATTTGCACGGAATCTTTAAAAAAATAATTGTAACACTCCCCTTTCACTCAATAAGAAATTCATGATTCTCCTATAAAGTCAACAAGGAAGTGCCGTAGCTTTTTACCAAGGCAAAATATGAAGCCTTCAAAGGAACAGCTTTCGCCAAAATATAAACGTTTAAACCCCCAAAAAAGTTCACATTTTTACTGATGACTCTCCGCTCTAAATCCCCAGCCCCTCTCCCCAAAGAAAAAAATTCCCTTCCTATAGGCAAATTCAATGTTACCTGCGCTGTTTGCCAAGACGATCAAGGCCATGCAAAACGCCATCATCAATAGAACTTTGTTAGCCATTCTTGAAGCTTTGTTTTGCTGCCCTGAAAATCAAAGATGGGGCAAAAACTTATCAAAATTTGGGAACTCAAGGCTTTAAAAAAGTTCTTTTTCAAACAATAACGATTTAAAAAGAAGAAAGAGAACCGTACCGGCAACTCACCTTTACTGTGTGATGATGCAAGTGTTGAAGTCCTTTTAGTGGCTGGAGGTTCGAGCTGCAGATTTGGAATGGATGAGACACGCCAGACGCTACTGTATTTATGCACATTGATTTGCATAACGTCTCGCTCTTGCCTCGCCCTTGCAATTGTAAATGTCCGTGGAGAAGCATACGTAGCAATCAGTTGGTGTAATATGTTCATAAAATGCAATTGCATTTAGTACAATAGATAAAACGACAATATAATGCAATAGCTTTTCTGCACACATTACATCGATAAAGATCGGCTGCTCATTTCGGTATTTATTAGTGCCTTGAATAAGTTTCTTGTGTGTTTTTATTCTAAGTTTTAAAAGTTTAGAAAGAGATAGATATTCAATATAGATTCTAGCAATTTTGTTCCTTTGAAAGCACAAATCTATAAGTGAGTTGCTTGGATGCTGGAAAGAAACGGAAAAATGCCCGCACTTATCTCACAGTAGGAAGAGAAATAACGTAATTTGAAATAGAAAACTAAACAAATTAAAAACAAATTAAGGCAATTTATAATGCCAATTACAACAAACAAAACACAGCCAATATTGAAATAATAATAATTTAATTTATATAGCGCACACATCCCAAGTTCCGAAATGCGCTTTAATCGTATTAATCGTATTAATTTAGAATTAATTTATCAAGTTACATTGAAATTTCATTGCGGTTTCTGTGTTACGTATACTTTGTAAAACTACCTGCCTGGTTGAAACAATCAAAACAACTCTGGCTAGTGAAAGTCATGCAGCTGAGAACCAGTTTTTTTAATGCTTGAAATAACCGTATTTATTGGTTCTTAAATATGGTAATTCTAACCATAACCAATATTGGTTATTATAAACAAATAACTTGGGGGCATAACAACAGAAAGATATTGGTTATAATAACCAAACAGAAGCTCATAGTACAGGTACTCATATCCGTGGAATTCCTGGATTCCAGGAATTCATCTGATGTTGTGGTTTTGAAAATCGAGCCATTTTGTTGGCTAACCGAGATGTTAAATTGCTTTAGACAAGTATGTAACTCTGTTTTAGTCATCGTATATATTTTTTGTTCAATTTAGATAGTCTGGTTTAGTTTAGTCTAGTCTAGTGTTTTTTTTTTAGTTCAATTAAAATAAAATTGATTCTTGATTGGGTGTTTTTGTTTTTGTTCGTCTTTTCGCGCAAAAAGGTAAAAATTTGTATGATAAAACAATTAAAAATTAACCTTTCTTACCACAAAACACTTTAAAGCCATATTTAGTTTTCTTGATGTGTTTGTTTTTTTTTAACAGAAAATTGCCGAGCATATAAGTCGGCGGGTCATTTTGAATTTTCCGTCTACTAATAGAATATGTTGAGCTGTTAACCTAGTATTTAGAGTAGCCTAATATAACCACTATAATATTGGTAATTAAACACTTCACTTTGAGCTGAATTTGAAGCCCTGAGACCGAGTAAAGAATTTACTTGTAAAGTTTTTTTCAGGATACCAAGATTTTCCTAGACGAATGTCTCTTTTGAAGGATGAGCCGGCAAAAGATTTCATATTCCCGAAAATTGCCACAAAAATCGCAGCAAAAATCGCCGAAAAATCGCCAGTGTAAACGGGGCTTTAGGGTGTCAGGTCTGCCATACATACCCTCTCGGTTCTACATGCACGTGAGCTCATCATACAAGCGATTTCTTGCTGCCATGGATGACAATTCATTCCCAAGAGAATGAAATAACAAAAGATACGGCGGCCATGTTGGATGATATAACAAAAGAGACTAATGACAAATGTCACTTGTTCAAATTCATCTAACATGGCGGTTGTGAGAACTATCAATAGTTTAACATAGTTTTTTCGGATTTTTTCGTGATTCCATGCTTTGAAATTGGGATATCAACTTTCAGAACACGGAATTAAAATGAAAAAATTTGAAAAAGCAAGAAATGATAAGTGTCAAGTTTTATAATCTTTCATTTAGATTGATTGCTTCAAAATACCAACCATTCTAACTTATGTATAACGGGTCAAAATATTATTGACGGCATTCAAAGCGTGCCTTATTACGAAGCGTAGTGAGTGCGGCGCAAGGTACTGTAAATTCAATAGATCATTGGGTACGAGGTGCAAAGAACACCAATCTGCAGTAAGAATGTTACAATCAGAAATCTGCACTGGTTGAATATGCATGCAACAGTGGGCATGGCATCGAATGGGGTAACATGAAATCATTAACAAAGAAACAAGATGGCACCAGAGGAAATGGACTGAACCATATCGCCAAGCAACAGAACACTTTGTTGAAGAGAGACAAAGGCAGGATTATACCTGCCAAAAATCATAGCTTGCAAAAAAGTTAATGCTATCTTAGTTTTTGGACTTATTGCTATACCTTTTTCTTTTCCCAGCTCGCTTGAAATGTTTTCCTTCCTTTCTTCTGTCGTATTTTATTTGTATTTATATTTTACTATATTTTAGGCCCCGTCCACACGTATCCGGAAAGTTTTGTATCCGCAAATTTTTTTTTTCGGATACGCGGGTTGCGTCCATACGTGTCCGCAAATTTTTGTGTCCGTATCCGCAAATTTTACGAAAACGGACRCGTGTGGACGGTGAAGACGATTCGAATACTGCGTGTGGACGCAAACACTTTCGTATCCGCAAAAAATGATTTGCGGATACAAAAATTTCCGGATACGTGTGGACGGGGCCTTAGAATCAATTTGCGGTAGGAAGACAGCTTGACAGCTACTCCTAAGTAATGGATAGTACTTGAGCAAAATTGTAAAGACTCTAGGCTTGAATATCCTAAGAAAATTGAGGTAAAGAAGGAAAACCAGGGAAAATGGATACGAAAGAAACAAAAGAAAGCCCTCGTTAATTTCATGGAAAGGAAGAGAAATATTGTGGGTTGAAATAGAGCAATATTGTTTAGTTATGTAATGATAATTCGCTGATAAGACTTTATTCAAAATTTATATGGGAAAACGTTTACACAGTGCGACTACGTACTCCAGCCAAGGCAACCTCGAGTGTTTGAATACTTAGACAATAGATTAGCGACAAATTTTAAATATTCTTCCGTTGCTGAGATTGGCAAAACTAAATGACAAACAAGAAATTGCAATATATGTTTTTCGCGAATTAGTGATTTTTGGTACCAAAAATATAGAAAAATAGTAAAGTATGACTTCAAATACTACAGGAAAGCAAATTAGAGACCGTATAAAACACAGTCTTTATTATTATTACAGTTTGTTTTTTTCCAGACGATATTATCAGGCAGCACGTTTATATTTCGACAACCAAAGAGGCGGCAGTCTGCTAAACCGTGTAAACCCATATATGGATACTTGTCCAATTTGTAGCAATTCTATTGTTCAGATTCCCACTTTCGATTGGCTAATTTGTAGAAAAGTTGTTTGGATGGCCTTGGTTGGAGTAGTTTCACTGTAACAAACTTTTACTTTTGCCTATAAATACTTTAAAAAAAAAAAATAAATAAATAATAAATTTCTCCTATTAGTATTTAAATGTATCCTACGTTTTTCAAGGGAACCAACTCTCTGGACAACAAGCCGTCATCACTTATTAGTTTCCCAATTCTTTCAAACCCATTAGCTTTTTTCATTAAAAAAATACCTTCAACGTCTCTCTGTGTGTAAATAAAGCTAGACAACACATTAATTGCCGTTTTTAAGCTACGTCCAAGAAAGAAAGCAGCGAGCATTCACGTAGTATTTGAAGAATATTTGAATTTAAGAAAGTTAACCGGCCATTTTAGTTACGGATAGGTCAAACACTATTTAATCGAGTGCCGTATTCGCCTGTCAGGAATAGACAGTTCAATTTTCTCAAGGTTGCGTGCACACCTAACTTGACGGGCCACAAAACTGAAAAAAGCAAATTCAGTAAAATTGAGAAAACAGTTTTATATTAAAAGAGGAGAATAATCGATTTCAGGAATTCTTATCCATAGCAACGCTTGATAATACTCGTGTTCCGGTATCGTTGTTCATCTGCAAAGCGGTCCATGGGAACGAGAGTGTCATTGTTTTTTGATTCTATAAAATAGGATTCCTCCCCCCCCCCCCCCCCCCCCCCACCAAATATACAAAAGGAAAATAACACGGCCTTAAAATTATACAAACAGATTCAAATTATCACAGCTTTCAATCTGTGTCTCAACTCGGTTCTGAAATGAAAGGTTATCCAGGTATTTTACGGAGTATGAATCAGATAAGCTCTACAGCAAAAGAATTTTAAAATCGAGATTCGAACCCCGAACCTCAAATAGTTGAGAGGCAAGCGTTTTACCACCACGCCAACCTGACTTAAATCTATTCAAACACCGTGCGCCCTAATACAAAAGGTCGTAAGTTGAAAGTCTGTGGTATTTTTTGTTTCAGAGCGTAATGACACAGGTTTGACGTTTCAGTATTGCTGATATGTAGATGATTTCTTTGCTACATATTTTTGTGTTTCAAAATATTTGTGCTGCATAAACTTCTATAGCAAAGAAAACCTAGCTATTTGCTCAACATATAAGCAACACTAGATGGCACGCCCGATATACAGTCAATTCAAAAAACGTTGTCGTCGACCGGCTCAAGCCTAGGCGACTGGACCGAAAGGAATATGGGTAAAATTCACTGAAGCGGTTAAATATTCGTTCTGAATTAATTGTTCCCGCTAGTAATAAGATAATAATGGCGAGAAACAATTCATCAAATGCATGTCTTTGGGTTTAGGGAAAGAAAAATCAATTAGTAATGATTCAGTTCACAATTTCAACAATATGATATGAAAAACGTCTTCTTCAACACTTCCCGCTAGCCTACGAAGGTTCGTGCTGTAAACAAGGCATAACTAGTCAGATAAAATTATGGAGTCAACTCGGCTTCAATGATTACTACCCAGAGTTCCTTTCGGTTCAGTCGCGTAGGCTTTAGTTGGTCGACGACAATTTTTTTTCAATTGACTGCATCCTGAGTCATTACGCTGAACGAAGTGCTAATATTTCTGGCATTAAGCGTAAAAATGCCATATTCCACTGGGAAAAAAGTTATCACGTATTGTTTTAGGGCGCACGGAGTAGCCAACTTTCGAAATTCTGGTTGAGTGATCAAGCACAAAACAATCTGAGCCATTCTGCTTCGGTGAAACAAAAGAATAACGACGATTAAGCTATTGTTTCCCCGAAGCCTTGACTCGGATTGTTTTATGCCTGATATCGAAAGTTGACGGTTCAAAAACGAGTTAAAATAAAAGATGTCAATAATCAGCGTATTGAAACTCACAAAGTACAAATGTGCATGTCGTCTAAAGGATGATCTTATGCGGAAAAGCCGCTCTGTTGTATTCTCTTTGTTTGCTTCGTTTTGTTGTCCACGCTAGTACTCTACTAGTTATCACCACTTGTTCTGTTATATAATTTGCAGTCTTTTGTTGTGGCTATTGAATAACGTAGACTGTTTCCTCTAAACGAAGTAAGAACCGTTCTTTTGTTCTAACAGCAAGATCTGCATGTGCATTTACAAGGGCGAGCCGTTATGCAAATGAAGGTGCATAAATACAGGGACATCTCTCATCTTTGGTTCATTCCAAAACTGCAGCTCGAACCATTCAGTCAGGCACTGAAAGTACTTCAACACTTGTAACAGAGTCACCTCATAGTAAAGACAGAGCAAAAGTAAGTTGCCAGGTTCTCATTTAGTTCATTATTACTATCAAAGAACTTAAATTTTCTCTTAAAACCTCATTGAGTTTAAACGTTTTGCTCAAAGTTATATAACCATCTTTCGATTGTTGCAGCAAAGAAGCTCGAAGAATGTCTAACAAAGTTATATTGATGATGGCGCTTTGCATGGCCTTGATCGTCTTGGCAAACAGTGCAGGTAACATTGAATAGTCGTATTAATTATTACGTTTTCTCGCCTCGCCAGTCGTTTGACCTAGACCTTGCGCACTTACCACCTTGCCTTGAAAAAATGAATTAAATCTTAGGCGCAAACCAGGACCCGGTTGTTCAAAACCCCGATTAAACTAACCGGGATTAGGCCTAAACCGGGTTTAAATTCTCTAATCGCGATTTAGTTATTCTGTGGTTTAAATATCGTTGTTCAAAGCTAGATTAGTGGGTCGATTAACTAACCCCCGATTACGCGACTTAATCTACGATTAGCATCCCAAAATGCACTAGTGTTTATATGTCATTTTCAAGATGGCGGCTTCACCTAATGAAATTAAAATTTAAAACGAAGTAAACTTTGTAATGAAAAAAGAATGCAAAAATTAATTTTATTGCATCGGACTGCGGTCTTAGCCAAAAAAGTTGAGGAGAGTTCAGAGGTTCTGCAAAGTAAGTTTACGAACTTTTTAAGTATGATTTCGTCTAATTGTCTTTCGCTCCAGATACTCGTAAATCAGATTTTTCATTTGAAAAGATGGCTTCTCTTCCGAATCTGTATTGCACAGACTTTCGCTGTCAGTGTATTCCTCGATACAGGAGCTTTTAAACCTATATCTACGAACTTTTCTTTGCTGTGCGAAAAAATGAACAGATTCGCGATTTTGTTTTTGTTTTGAATCTTTATTTTAATCCTAGTTTAGCGATTTAAACCACCTCGCGAGTTGGTTTAAAATTAACTACTCTTTAACCCTAGGTTAGCGCTAATCGTTCTTTGAACAACGCAATCTAATCCTAGGTTCAACATGGCGGATGCCGAAATAACAACTAATTAGTGTTCCGTGCGGTCGTGAAATCGCTGGTCACACGTTTTGAATACATTACACAGTCCATGCTCATATTTTACAGTATTGACTCTCATGCATGTCCTATTTTACAGTATTGACTCTCCTCCACATCATATTATACAGCATTGACTCTCCTCCACATCATTTTACAGTATTGACTCTCCTCCACATCAGTTTACAGTATTGACTCTCATGCATGTCCTACTTTACAATATTGACTCTCATGCATGTCCTATTCTACTACGTCATCGGTCTATGTCGCTAGTAAGTCACGTGAGATATGCGAGCGCACCTTCACATTCAGTTGCTTGCCACCCTTCGTTGCATTCGGATGAAAGAAAATGGCGCGCAAACGCCAACAGACCGAACTGGAGGAAAAACGAACAGAAAATGAAAAAGAAGAAATTGAGCTGCTCGGAGAAGAAGAATCCTCAAAGGAAGAAGAGAATGAGGAGGGAAAGACACCAAAGAATACCAGCGACACGCTGGAAAACACACTGGGAAACCTAAACAAGAACATGGAAATCATGGCGGAGTCGATGACTTCGATGCACAAAGCCATGAAAAGAATGGCGAAAACTCAGGATAAAAGTTTACCAAAGAGGAGGAAAGTCGAAATGTCTGACTCAGACATCGATTCAAGCATAGAATCGGAAAATTCCGATGTAGACAGCGACTCGCTACTGAAAGAAAGCCCAGAGACCAAAAAGGGCGGGAAAAACGACCCAAAAGACGACCTACTAGATAGCATCGCGAATGACCTTGATGCAGATGAAAAAATTGGACCTGATGTGTCTGATAAGCTTGCTAACATAGTAAACAAGCGATGGTCGGAAAAATTAAATTCAGAAAAGCTTTCTGATAAGCTTAAAAAAAAAAAACATGCCCGACCCGGGAATCTAAAAAATCTGGTGGTACCAAGAGTTAACCCAGAGATATGGTCAAATATGAATCACCATATTAAACGAGAGGACCTTAGGAGAGCCAGTACTCAAAACACTGTCGCTAAGGTCGGATCTATTCTAGCAAAGTGCACCGACATTTTGCTGAAAGCTCGAAATGACAACAAGAAAGAGCTAGACATCGATGAAATGATCGGATTACATACCGATGCGATAGCCATCTTGGGACACACACAATACGAACTGTCAATGGCACGAAGAGATGCCATAAAACCCAGCTTGAAAAAAGAATATGCTGGGCTATGTTCACAAAATATCCCTGTCACAAGCCTGCTTTTTGGAGACGAACTCCAACAACAACTAAACAACATAAAAGCATCAAACAGGATCACACAAACAGCGGCGGGCGAACACAGAGAACGAAACACGTTCCGAAGGGATAGCTGGAAGCAAAAGCAGTCAGACAATTATTTCAAAAGATCCTATCAGTCCCAATACAGAGGGAAATACCGAGGAAACCCAAAAAACTCGAGATCCCCCTCCTACAAGAGAAAGGAGGGGGGAAAGAACTAAGCATGGACGACATACAGGTCAGTAATTTTGAAATCAACCTTGATAATATAAAGCAGTACTTGAATACAAAAGTTGACCGCTTTAAAGCGGGAAGGATAAGAGAATCCTACCATTTGTGGGAAAAACTTACCTCAGACTCTGAGGTTCTGAATACCGTTAAAGGTCAGACTATTGAGTTCACCAGGACCCCTTATCAGGCCAGAGCGCCTACTCAGAAAAAATTCAGTGTTGAAGAGAGACATATTGTTGGGTCAGAGATTAAAAAATTGCTAGATAAACAAGTTATCCAGCTATCAGATAATGAGCCTCACGAGTTCATATCCACAATATTTTTACGACCAAAGTCAGATGGTACACACCGTATGATACTTAACCTCAAAAAACTTAACGAGTCTGTTATGTATCATCATTTCAAAATGGATACATTATGGTCGGTTATCAGAATGATGAAACAGAATTGTTTCATGGCATCCATAGATATCAAGGATGCTTACTATTCAGTCCCTGTGAACCCTAACGACCAAAAATACCTAAAGTTTGAATTTGACGACCAGTTATATAAATATACATGCTTTCCTAATGGCTTAGCACTGTGCCCTAGAAAGTTCACAAAACTACTCAAACCAGTATACTGCCACTTGAGGGAGAAAGGACACCTTTCATCAGGATATATTGATGATTCCTATCTACAAGGCGATAGTTATCAGGAATGTCTGGCCAATGTTGTAGACACCATAAAATTATTTGACAAATTAGGCTTTGTTGTG